GACTGACATGGGGGTCGCTCGTCCCAGTAAACGACTGACATGGGGGTCGCTAGTCCCAGTAAACCACTGACATGGGGGTCGCTCGTCCCAGTAAACCACTGACATGGGGGTCAGATATATTGTTTATCAACCAATCAGTAAATGACATGGAAAAAGGACACTGATTCACCTTTTAACAATATGGGCACCATTTGCACTATTTATTACCTCCGCTAATGTTTTAGCTAGCGTTTATCTGTTTGTTTGTCAGCAAGATAACTCGCAAAGTTCTGAACGGATTTTCATGACATTTTCGGGTTAGTGTTGATAGTGCCACAATGAACAGATGATAACATTTTGATGTATAAAATATTTGAGAGTACAGAAAGACCGTCCATCACTCCGTCAGCTTGATATTAATGATATCAATGTTAAGTCAAATGCTAAAGCTATGCTCAGATCCTCCATGAATCTAATAGTGTAGATAAATGAATCAGGACTTTAACACTGGCTGGAAATCACAATATGGTGGAAATGAGCTGCTGGGCAGAGGTCTGAGCTCTCAGAGGGATTTTCTAGTTTTACTAAGGGCATTTTATGAGATTTTCCACTAATCTGGCAACTAAATTGTTACCAAACAACTTCTTCACTAATGTGTTTGTACAGGTGTGTAATAACATGCCTTAAAATGTTGAAGTTCAGCTCTGGTGGGAAACCCTGAGAAACACCTGCTCAAGTTAAGGCACCCATAAATGATTGATGAAAAATGGATTTTACAATTTCGATGTGATTAATATTTTTAAAACAACAATATGAGCAGACCTGGTGAAAGTCAAAGATGAATTTAAAACACTGTCTGAATCAGTCCAGTGTTTGTAAAACCGACATTTCTTCTAAACTGGTATCTTCAGCCGCTGACTGGGAGAAAACATGAAATCAGCTGCTGGTAAATGTCTGAACTAATCATGAACAAATGAAATATGTGACTTTGTCTTCTTTTTATGTCCATTATGTAGGATTTATGATCTTTTTTTCTTTCACACAGCTCTATGTGGGAAACCTGTTTAACCACAGATGCTCCATGATTCAGTTTAAATGTTGTTTCTCAGGCTCCAGATCATTAATTACAACAAAACCATGTTTATCTGATTATTGAACAGACTCAAATACATCAGTTTTCCTCCCCTGATGTCTGATCACCAACTCACTGGAAATACGCTGTGCAGGGACTCAGGACCACTTTGTGGACTTTAAACTGGACATCGTCCACCTTGATGACTGCAGCGGAGAACTCTCCATTTAAAAAGCGCTCGTAGAAGTAATGTGAAGGCCAGCTTTGTTCACTCATCGTGACTTTTGTTGGAAAGGTTTTCCCAGTCTTTGAGCTGCTGCTTGGCCTCTGGTTGGCTGAGTTCTGACAGATTTCTGAGCAGAGTCAAGTGTATAAATGTCTCCATGTGGTTCAGGTATATAACAGCTCACTTCAGCCTGCAGCCAGTTCAATGATGTCTGTGTTTAAAGAGTTAACTTGAGCTTTATTTTCCTGTTCAAACCATCTTTTGATGAAATGTGTACCAACCTGACAGGAGATTCACCACCACAATAAACAACTCAGTGGTTCTACTATTAATCTACCAAACCAAAGAGGACGAGGCTCATGAATTACAATCAACTGCACTTTTATCAGATACATCCATACAATCCAGGATAAAGAAATCTTCCCCCTTTAAAGGCAAGAGGTGCTAATTTATTAGTTTTATTGGCTTTGTTCCTGACTGAGGTGGTAGCCGGTGGGAGGGCTGTGCTGCACCGCATTAAGCTGGAATGTGATTCTGATGTTACATCAACATCAGAAGTGTTTCTAGTCCAGTTTATCACCACAGCAAACTAGAACCTCAACATTAACCCCTTGAACCTCAGACGGCCCTGCACCATGTATAAAAACTTCTGAAGTCTGTTCGTGTGACACATTCATGGAAGAGGCCTCCTGTTGGTGATCTGATTATAACGGATGCAGCGTTTATTTTAGCAGAGTTGTAGTTGAGACATTTCAGCACAGGTTCAGTAACAGCGGTGTGTAGCCGCCCAGCTGAAACCAGAAGTTTACATACACGGTATAAAAAGACTCTCACTGTCTGACATTAAACCAGACTAACCTGTTCCTGCTTCAGGTCAGTTAGGATTACCAACATTATTTCTATGTGCTACACAGTGTGTGTGACCTGAACATGCATGGACACTCTGAAAAGTAACTCCAGGAACCCAGTCCCACCACCAGTTATTTGCATTGTTGCAGGAAAACAAAACTCATGTACTGATTTATATTCAGTATTTAGGGCTGTGAGGTGCCTCCAGTCTGGTCTTTTTCAACAATGGAGTGCAGGTGGTGAAATATAAATGCTAACAGCCAACTCAGAATCATGAACAAACCCTGATTTGATCCTCATGAGTTACTTCAGGCCCGATTTTTAAAAAACCCATTTTTCATCAATCATTTATGGGTGCCTTAACTTGAGCAGGTGTTTCTCAGGGTTTCCCACCAGAGCTGAACTTCAACATTTTAAGGCATGTTATTACACACCTGTACTAACATGTTGGTGAAGAAGTTGTTTGGTAACGATTTAGTTGCCAGATTTTGATATGTTTCTCTGACTATTTTGAAATACAATACTTTGTTCATATATTTCATGAAAACACAAATCTTTTGAGCTTCTCAAAAAGACTTTTCTTCAACGCTGGTGCTGTATCATGTGTATTTATGTAACCAGCTGATTTGACACAAACAGTTTTGACAAAGCATTTTTATCTTCAGCCAACTTTTTACAGATTAACGAGTGGCTGAGAAATGTTGACCGACAAGTCATGTTCTGCAATGAACGTGCACACGCGTATTTTTAACGCACAAACCCGGTCAGTCATTGGTGCCGGTACCTCAGCGGTGGCTGCTGCCGGCAAACGAGGTGTGAGTTTCAGAGCAGACAGCAGCTCTGTGGCCGCGGCCTGCCTCCTGATCTGACAGCACTTCTTTGCCGCTAGTTGCGTACAGGAGTTTTTTTGAGCAGATGGTACAGAAGCAAGCACCGGGCTTGTTCAATTTTTTTGCACCAGCAACCAAAGGGCTTGCCGTCTCCGCTTAACCCTTTCAACACTATAGCCCTCTGTACCGGTCTGCCGCTTTCACCCCGTTCAGCCCTGCAGCCCGGTATAGCGACTTTCTGTTACATTCATTCTGATTGGCTATCAGCGGGGATCCCCGTATGTGAACAAGCGATTCAGTCATTAAATACATTTTCAAAAAAATAATAATAATAATAACGATAATAATAAATAACTGCATACAGAGTTCCTGCCAGTGTCATAACAGAGTAACGGCCCGTTATGCTGCTGCCTGAAAACATTTCGCTGCAAATTGGGCCGATACGCTGTTTTCGAGGGTACGTAACGGGAAGATATTTAACAACATGCGCCGACGGAGTTTCACTACCGTTGTCTCCGCTGCTAAAGCTGCTATTTGCCGCTGCCCAATAGCAGCATTCGCTCAGATCCCCCCCCCCCGACGTTGATGGCTTCTCAACCACGCCCAGCGCCATTTATTTTTAATGAGGACAACTTCCCCGGCTTCAACAATTTCTTCTCCAAGCACCTGACATCAGCGTACAGCGTTTTTTTTTTCCAGAGCCAAGCGCCGCACGCCAGAAATCCGGCATGGTCCCGGAATACTTTAAGCCATGAAATACTGATCTGGTACCTGGAGCAGCTCAGGTGCTCAGCATCAGTTACCACGGTGATGCACCTGGTAAGAAGTGAACCGCTACCATAGTACCAAAAACCTGAAAGTACCTCCAGAAAATCTAATCCTGCTTTGCAGTACAGTGTGTAGTACCTTGTACTCATGCAATAGTCCTCTGACGGCTTCTTCATCAGTGAGGTCACAGCGGAGGAGGCGGGGCCTAGCTCTCCTGTATCCGGTCCCAATGACCAACCAGCCGCCGTTCTGAAACTCTCTGCACACTGCCCGACCCAGAAGGCCCGTTGCCCCAGTAACCAGGACCTTTGTAGCTGGGACGACCTCCTCCTGCAGTACACAGAGTAAAATGGTTAGGGGGTAGAACTCAGCCAACCCAAACCTTACCCTGATCCTAACCAATAGGTCACCGTGGGTTACCATAGGTCACTGTACAGCCGTGGCCAAAAGTGTCGAGAATGACACAAATATCACATTCTCACAGTCTGCTGCTTCAGGGTTTTTAGGTGTTTTGTCAGATGTTTCTGTGGTATACTGAAATATCATTACAAGCATTTCATAAGTATCAAAAGCTTTTAGTGACAATTACACTGAGTTCATGCAACAAGGCAGTATTTGCAGTGTTGACCCTTCTTTATCAAGACCTCTGAAATTCTCCCTGGCATGCTGTCAGTCAGCTTCTGGACCACATCCTGACTGATGGCAGCCCATTCTTGTGTAATCAGTGCTTGGAGTTTGTCAGAATTTGTGGGTTTTTGTTTGTCCGCCCGCCTCTTGAGGATTGACCAGAAGTTCTCAGTGGGATTAAGATCTGGGGAGTTTCCTGGCCAAGGACCTGAAATCTTTACGTTTTGTTCCCCGAGTCATTTAGTTATTACTTTTGTTTTATGGCAAGGTGCTCCATCGTGCTGGAAAAGGCTTTGTTCATCACCAAACTGCTCTTGAATGTTTGGGAGAAGTTGCTCTCGGAGGATGTTCTGGTACTATTCTTTATTTATGGCTGTGTTTTTAGAGTGAGCCCACTCCCTTGACTGAGAAGCAACCCCACACATGAATGGTGTCAGGATGCTTTACTGTGGACATGACACAGGACTGGTGGCAGCGCTCACCTTGTCTTCTCCAAACAAGCTTTTTTCCAGATGCCCCAAACAATCAGAAAGAGGATTGATCAGAGAAAATGACGTTACCTCAGTCCTCAGTAGTCCAACCCCTGTACCTTTTGCAGAATATCAGTCTGTCCCTGATGTTTTTTTGGAGAGAAGTGGCTTCTTTGCTGCCCTTCTTGACACCAGGCCTTCCTCTTAAAGTCTTCACCTCGCTGTGCTGCAGATGCACTCACACCTGCCTGCTGCCATTTCTGAGGAAGCTCTGCACTGGTGCTGGCCCGCAGCTGGATCAACTTTTGAAGACGGTCCTGGCACTTGCTGGACTTTCTCGGGCGCCCTGGAGCTTTTTTTTGCAACAACTGAAGCTCTCTCCTTGAAGTTCTTGATGATCCAATAGCTGGTTGGCTGAGGTGCAATCTTACTAGCTGCAGTATCCGTCCCTGTGAAGCCCTTTTTGTGCAACGTAATGATGACGGCACGCGTTTCATTGCAGGTAACCACAGAACAATGGTGTCAAGCACCATCCTCCTTTTAAAGCATCCAGTCTGTTATTCTAACTCAGTCGTGACAGATTGATCTCCAGCCTTGTCCTCATCAACACCGTGTTAACGGGAGAATCACTGACATGATGTAAGCTGCTCCTTTTGTGGCACGACTGAAATGCAGTGGAAATGTGGGTTTTATGGATTAAGTTCATTTTCAAGGCAAAGAGGGACTTTGCATTTAATTGCACTTGATCTGATCACTCCTCATAACATCATTATATGCAAATTGCATTTATAAAAACTGAAGCAGCAGACTTTGTGAAAATTAATATTTGTGTCATTCTCAAAACTTCTGGTCACGGCTGTAGGTCACGGTTGGTCACTGATGGTTACTATAAGTCACTGTAGGTCACCGTAGGTCACTGTAGGTCACTGATGGTTACTATAAGTCACCATAGGTCACTGTAGGTCACAGCTCTACTGTGCTGCAGATGAATGTTGGACTGATGAAGGTCACGTCCTGCTTAGCAACAGAGACTCATTTAATAACAACAGCAGGAGGCGTCCAGATGTTTCAGTCTGAACATCTGGCTGGTCAATAATCACGTCTGTTTGTATTGATGACAGAGATCACACATCACATGCAGAGTGTTTCAATATACTGTCAGACTGAAAACCACCAAACTGCTCGATCGGCGTTATCAATCTGTTTCTGCAACTTCCTGATCAAACTGATTGATCACTGTGCTCCTTTCAGTTCCTCCCCCTGCTGCTACTGTCCGGGTGTTTCCAGGACCTGCTGTTAGCCTAGCTCTCTACAGGTGAACGTTTACCTGAACCAGCTGCACGTGCCCCGGACTAAACAGAATCCTCAGTTCTGCGCCTGCGCGGCTCATCTCCGTCCTCCTCCAATCTGATATGTTTCTGATATTAAATATTGATCGGCATCGATCAGTCGGAGCGTCTCTAAATTTTCTATTGCGCACTTCGATCTCACTGCGCCTCTTCCGGTTAATCAGCTGTTTGCCGTAAAGCAGCTGTCGCAGCGATGCTAACTGTTAGCATGCAGGCTAATGGTCCTCAGAGCAGCTAAACGAGCTGAAACAGCAGCGTGACTTTACTGACACGCTGCAGACCCGAACCCGAACCCGAACCCGAACCCTGAGCTCATCAGCACCTGTGTCCGAGCACAAATACTACAAACTTCAAGAACCTTAAATTTACCTGAGAAGCGGCGAACTGAAACCCAGGCATCTGATTCGAACCCGGTGACAGACCAGAACCAGACAAGAACGGCAGGAACCTGCAGAACCAGTGTACACTTAGAACCAGCACAGACTCCACTGAGGGACTACGTCTTCTTCTTCTTCTTCTTCTTCTTCTTCTTCCTCTTGTTCTTGTTCTTGTTCTTCTTCTTCTTCTTCTTCTTCTTCTTCTTCTTCTTCTTCTTGTCGCCCCCTGCAGGACAGAGCGCAGCATCACAAGTTAATTCCTGGCTATTAAAGCGTCTCTTCGGATTTAACCTGTGATGTTTTTGTCCACTGTTACCATAGTTACCTCAGTGTCTGAATGAGCCTCACTTTGATCAGATCAACTTTATTGATCCTCACCAGGAAACAGGTCACAGCAGCTGGACACAGAAGAACCTAAAGATCAGATCAACTTTATTGATCTGGCATAGGAGAAGCTCACAGTGTGTCAGCAGCAGAACACAGAAACACACTGGAAGGAAGAAGCAGGACAAGAGTTATTATCTATGTATATAGATCTATATGTAGAGATATTTATATATAGATCATTTATAGTTATAGCTTACAGTACTTAATAACAAGGTACTGCCTCACTGTTTCAGTTCTGTGTACTCCGGTTGCCAAGCAACGACATTTCATTACCAGATTCACGAATGGGTTTGTGTGCAATGACAAAAAAGAAAGTCTAAGCCTGCAGCACCACACGTGGTCTGACGTGGTCTCTGCTGGTTATTGATCGTCAACACTGATTGGCTGTTGTTGTGTTCCTGNTTATTGATCGTCAACACTGATTGGCTGTTGTTGTGTTCCTGGTTATTGATCGTCAACACTGATTGGCTGTTGTCGCTCATGTGTTGGTCATTGTGAGTCTCTGGGTTTTCAGAGGGCGAGCGAGCTTCAGATAAACAGAGAGAGAGAGCAGCAGCCTCGTCTGTCAGTCACCTCCTAAAATAGAAGCTGCAGTCCGACACCGACTCTCTCTCCCTGTTTATCTCAGTGTCTCTCGCCCTGCAGTCCGTCAGCAACACTCTCTCTCCTGCAGGACATCAAGCCGGTGCTGAACCGGCTTTAAACATGCTGACTGCTCCGGGACCAGAACTTTCTCTGAACCAGTTCTGATGGACCAGAAAGCCTGAGAACATTTGGGGGAAAGCACACTGTGAAATATTCCTTTGATCTGATTCTGAGCACAGAAACTGGATCCCACAACTGGACTTGGTCTTGAACTCTGCTGGACCCTGAGCACGAGCTTGATCAGAATCAGAGCCAGGTTCTGAGATCTCCATAAGAAGACTGCATCCAGTCAAACACTGGATTTCTGACAGTTGTGATCCAGATTCTGGTCCTGGTCCAGACTGTGACCCACATCCTGATCCAGATCCTGAATGCGGTTCTGATCTTGAACAGAGGTTTGTGTGTGATATTCAAACTGCATTGTAGCAGAGTGGCCACCCTAACCCTAACCCTGC